GCAAAATGTTCTGTTATACGCGTTGGTCCGAATGACACGCCGACTCGTTATTTGATTGGGGGCAACGAGGTACCGCTGGTTCATCTCCATTCGGACCTCGGTGTTTTGCTGTCATCCGACTTTAAGCCCAATGAACGCTGAACGACAGCTGCTCGCAAAGGTTCCAACATGTTGTGGATGAGCCGCAGATCATTCGGGAGCACGACCATCGAAATGCTCATTAGATTATTTTCGGCTTTTGTAAGGTCGCACTTGGAATACTGCGTTCAGGCTTGTCCACCATGCATGGTTCGCGATAAGATGGCAGTTGAACGAGTCATGCCGTCCGGGACGAAAATGGTGCAAAGATTAAAGAAGCTGACGTACGCGGAGAGGCTATGTAAGTTGGATAGGTTTTCCATGCATTACTGGAGACTACGATGTTACTTGTTCCTCAAGTATCGCAAATTGATGGGGCAGACTGGTCCTGATTCGACTGGACTGTTTCACCCAACTCGAGCGCCAACCCTTCGTGGCCACCCATTAAAGTTGCGCAAAACCCAGTCTGACCGGGTTTGTGCAGCTTTTTGGTTATCGCGTAGGGTCATAGATTATTGGAATGCATTACCTGCAGACGTCGTGATGGCACCGACGGTGAAAGAGTTCGAGCATCGACCTGACGCTCCCGGTCTGCAGTTTAAATTCATCTCCTTAATGTCTTAAACTTTTCTTCGTCTACTACGGCCTACGCTTCATTAACTCATTTTAACTTACATCTTAATATTACCTACGATATTCGAGACGCTTGTCTTCTCCTCTGTTTCCCTTCCGTTACTGACACTGCTGTTTTCTTTTATTCTTCACGTGGCCGGCACAGCGGGGACTGTTAGTGCAGTGCACGTGGGCATTGTTTAGTTGACCATGTGAATCATATGTTTTGATTTGGCTCTCCTTTGGCATATCATGGCACCGGTTTCCCTGTTGGACCAACAACGTTTTCGAAGGTGGAACCTCGGCAGGATGTTCCTGCTGTTCCGGTTCCACTTGAACTTGAACCTGAATCTGAATCAGAGGAGCAAATTTATTGTTCATCCTTCAGGTAATGTAGAGATAAGAATAGAACTACAGAAGGCGATAACTACGCGCCTTGACGATGTGGAAATCATCTTTTTAATGAGTATCGTGTGGCGCCGACATTTGCACTGGTGACGAGTGCGATCGAGGAAACCCACGTGCGTGTAATATCCAAAGAGCACTTTGGATATTCTGCCAAACTGGTTTACCTATTAGGAACATAATGTCTCTTTTCCCATAACCTACACAAATATCCTTTCAGCAATATATACCTGTTGCCATCTGACATGTAGTACGAAACAATTTGCCTTTTCACTTCGCACTATTGACATATCCTTGACTCTTCAAGGTCAAATATTTCACCTTTGACAGTCTGCCGATAAGCAATCTGCCATGCTGTACCACTTTGCTACGCTGCCGCACATCCTGCTATTTCTGCCCTTTCCTGTTAGCACTGCAAACCTATTCGTAAGTTCATTACGTATATACTATTGAATCCTATACTATAGAATTATGGTAACGGATTCACGTTTTATATTCTTTGCTCAGACCGTGCGTATATTATAGGTTTACTAACCTTAAGTTTCTTTCCTTATCTAGTGCAACTACCTAGGCTAGGCTTCGAATTGTGGTTATCTAGTTGAATAGTGCAATAATGTGTTTCTGATTTTGATACTGAGGACTGCTGTGATGTTATTGAGGATACTGATGCAGAAAATTGCAATGCTGAGACCCGGATTAGAATGCTGAAGTCGGCTCTGACTAAGATGCGTCTGCAGGCTAAGCAATATATAAAATGATGATTGTTTAGGCATTACATTACGTCGGACCAGACGATTAATAAACAGACAGATTCTTTGCTTTACGATGTTTGTGGTCTTCTTTCCGAGGTTGTTCTCCGACCTTCTTCTTTAAATCCGATAACTTACGCTCGGCACGTGTCGTCGGTGGCGCGTTTGGATGATTGGTTGTCAGTCTCAGGTTCGGAGATTCGAAATAGCGACGCAGACCACCATTTGGATTCACCTGCTGCCACTAATTGTCTTATTAAACCGAAATCCAACTGTTTCGGTCCAAACGTGATGTCCTGGCTCCATAAGCGAAATTGATCACATTTGATGGTGATCCAACTCGCTATTAGGTGTTAATGCGATGCTTTGAAGCTGACGTGACCGGAAAAACTTCTATAGCGCCTAGATCGTGCGCTATATATCCGGTACGCGACTAGACGGCCAACCAAAAGTAGTGGGTAGAACACACAAAAGTAAACTAGGGAAGAAGTTTATTGGACGGGAGGAGCGTTAGCTAATGCTAAAAATAGGGCACCCGGAGAGAGCTAGCTAGGGAGAATGTCGTTGGCGTCGAGAGCGTAGACGGAGCGTCGTTCGCAATCGAGCCGCGCGCCAAAGGCGGACATCGTTTTCGTGTTTCCAACACACGGGAACAACGTTCCAACAGGCAAACCGAACGGTTCCTTAATACATAAGAAAGCTATAATTTGAATATAAGAATAGTTTACACAGTCATACGGGGGAATCTCCAGGTCGCTACACTTCCGATCCCGACTTTCATATCTGATACACTACTGCTTTGGTGAGGCCAAAGATGCCAGCGAAAGCTGTTTGATCTCCGAGCCTGTTGAACGTTACGAAGAAGGTGAGTATTTTGCGCAAGCGGTTCGGACGACCTCATATGATAGCGAGGACCCACAGCAATGCTCCAACTGATGGACCTAAAATCAAGCCCAGTGATCTTGTAGCCTTCTCGTTTGGCTGTGGAACTGCGGTCCTGTTACTTAACTCTGAAGCAGTTGAGACCCGAATCTGACCTGAACGCGTCGCGAACATTTAGCGCTATAGTTAAACAACTGCCGAATCATTTGCAATTCAAGTGGGCCAAGCATGCCGCTCGAGTCAACCGGATGGAAAGAGCCAAATTTTATTGGTTTGACGAAGTGGATGAAACAGCCGACGTCGTCGACACTTACCTGTCTTTTATCCCACGCCCCTTCGGATCAATTGACAACATGGAGAGAAGTAACAGCTTAAATCCCCGAGGTCGTGCCACTTAATCGAACGCTGTAGCATCCGTAGAACGGCCTCACCTTAAATGCATTTTCTGTGAACGACCTCATTATTTAGATCAATGTAATGAATTCCGAAAACTTAACAACCACCAGCGTCTAGAATTCCATTGTTTTCACCGATTATGCCAACTGTGCCTCGAATCAAACCATGACTTACAAAGCTGCCGGTAAATACAAGTGTTTATTGTAGCAAGTAGAAGCCAAGGTTAAATTTACAATATAGTCTGCCTCGACGGGGACTCGAATTTCGGACGTACGGATTGCCGGTCCGCTGCTCAACCAACTGCAAAGTTTAATCGTGGGTTGTACTTTCTACAAAAATAAACTACTCGCAAAACCACCAATATTCTAAAAAACTGTTGGGTATTAAGCAACTGTATGCCACTTCAACATCCGTTTCTACATGCTGATCTGTGTAAGAAGAACCCCTGGGACACTGAATACCGAAGGATCTAGTATCGCTCGACGTCATGTCGAAAACCCTGCTGTTTCATTTGGTGGATTGTCCGTTCTAGTTTCTGGTCCTGCTGGCACCGTTAGGATGCTAGTGTTGGTGGATAACGGATCAGACACTTCATTGACGCATTCCACTTGCTTCAAAATATCGGAATGAAAGAGTCCATGAGAACACTGAACCTATGTACCGTCGCTGGCCGATGCCATGTATAGTCGCAGCCAGTTAGTGTAACTATTCAATCGATAGATGGTGGCGAGGCAGTCCGGTTAGACACGGTCAGGTCAGTCAGTCGTCTCTCTGAAACATGGAACGGGCACACGAAGAAATGAACTCTACAGATGACCTCATTTATTCGACTTGCTGTTTCCAGAATCGAAGTGAAAGAGAGAGCTTCTGATCGGAAGTGGTAATCAATATCTGCACTGGGCTTCGGATCTGAGGCGTGGTGGTACCATTGATCTCTATGCTGTTAGAACCCCATTGGGCTGGATAGTGTCGGGTCTGAGAAAGCTGCCCGAGTTCCAGTAAGGTAAATCTGCACCAGCTGTAGTGGATCGCTCATAAAAGATAAATTCGTTTCGTTCCGAAACCAAATATATTGTTGGCGGCATCCGGTTTCGGATTTGCCTCTCACTGTGACCAACCACAAGACGCCTGCGCCTACAGAGGGACCATGGATGGCTTGCGCTGCACTACCCACAGCTCCATCCATACACTTCATATCCAGTGTAAACCCGAAGGAATAAGACCGGGAGGCATGTGGATAGGAGTCACGTTTCATCAACAGAGCCGGCCCTTACTCCTTCACAGGCAAACACAAGCACGCTGTATTTGGAAAATCAAGTGCATACAAGACGGTGGCTGGACCGTAGTCCGCTCCACACTGACTGCATGGAACCACTCTTCGAGCCTAGCACGACCACAAGGACCGTGCACGCCGTCCCCTCCAGCAACGACCAACTGTCTCCTAGAGCCAGTATGGGCGAGGTAGTGGGTAACAGACAGGTAAGCACCTTGTCAACATGCACATCAAGCGCAGCCACACCTGGGATGTCAAACAACAGCCAAACACTCGAAATGCCGATATCGAATAAAGTAAACGCATATGACGACATAAATACTCGCTAAATGAGCATATAGAAGAAATTCATTATAAGTGAATCCGTGATAAGTACAAAATGTCCGAGTTATTTAAAAAAATACGACGCGATAAAATTGCGCAAGTTTATCACAATTTGCATGAGCGACGTGTGCAAGTTGGGAGAGGATTATCAAGTACGTAGAACAAAGCAAATAAAATGTAACGAATTTTACCCACATTAAAAGAACCCATATATATATATATATATATATATATATATATATATATATAGTGGCGGGTATACACGACCTTGAAAACTTCGCGTAGCATTCGGTAGGGACGCGAATGCGCGCTACGATGAATCATTGTGCGCAGTAGACAGCTAATACTGCGAGGCGAACTGACAACGATGGCTAATGGACTGTGGGTGCGCAAGAGGGCAGCAAACGACAACGTTGTATGTTTTCCGAAGTAAGAAAAATGTGTGATACGTGTGATTATGTTGTGTCAACCAAGTTCACATGGTTGCGCCTCACCAAGACCGACTTGCATAGAGACGGGAGAAAAATAATCAGCAAGTATTAGCGGTATTCTTCTTACAAACCATAGCACTCCTTTCCCACAATGAGCGCAAAGTTCGTAGACTGTGCTGTTTCATGCTAAGGCCTAGCCAGAGAATCCTCGGCTCCGCTGTAGCCGGTAGTGGAAAGGAGGCTTAAAGTGTTACACTAAAATGACTGATCTAACTGGTGTAAAGGTAATTCGGACGCACTATTCAGTGTTGCTCACTAGAGCACATAAGTACGCGAATCAACCTATTAAGTATAGGAGTTCCCTGCGAACAGTAAGTTGCTCGGGGCAGAATCCGACGATATCGCCGCCAGTAATAGATGGTGTGAATAGGTAAGAAATTGGCAACTGGTCTGGATGGTCTTGGTGGATTTCAACTACACTGCGCAACTAGTGCCAACGAAGAAACAACCTTCATGGTTACCCACCTGATATCTGAACCTTGAATTCGATAAGTGGCAAAATCAACGCAAGCTTGAGCAGCAGCTATCGCTGATACTAAGTGTGAATGATCCTAAACGATAGCGATTCAAAACCAGTGCGCAGTGAAACCGTAGTAGTAGTCGTCCGCCTAGTGCAAGATGCGGAAATAATTGGATACGCTTCCGAAACATCCATTAGCCTGGTTGAAGTATGGAAAATAGTTCCGTGTGGTGATCTGTCTCGTAGTGTGCGCAACACAAGGAAGTAACACCTGACATTATTATCAATACAGTCAGCCGAGGGCGAGAAACAAACCTCAGTTAATGAGGTCGACTCTTCGCCATGTCAGCAAGTGTGTCCGACCAAACGTGTTCATCGTCTTTGGGACCCCAATCAGGCAATCTGGAAACCTAAACCGACGATAAGTTCGACGTAGGGGACTTCATTGCTTTAGACCAAGTCATCACTTGGCATCCCTTCCTCTTCACCCATCCACACGCCAGGCGCGCAAACGACGCATGATGCGAGATTCGGTGTGCTGACATGCGCAACATGTGGCCCAGCCATCGGAACCTGGTGCGTGATATAACAGTGCTGAGCGGTCCACTCGCTCTTCCTGCACCAAATACGAAGCGCCGACCACATACATTGCTCATGCAGTGTTCCTACTTGATATGAGCTAAGATGCGAAGACTGTGATGATGGGTCAGGTTTTGCAACCGTACAGGAGGGTTTTACAGACGGCTGTATCACAAACTCCCCCCTTCAGAGCGAGAGTAACGTCACGCCGGCGCCACGGGTGGCGGGGATAGGCAAAAGCGCCTTGAGCTTTTGCTATACTGTCAGCCATCTCATCTTCGATCACAAGGGCGTTAATATAGCCGCCCAGATACTTAAATTTCTGGATGACTCCTAGTTGATCACCTAAAGGGTCAGTGCAGGAGTGAATTCCTGTCAAGGTTGGAGAACGACTTCGCAGCTCGACGGAGCAAAGCATAGCCCGAAAAGACTAACAGTCAGAACGGATTTATTCAGCGCAACTTGGCACATTCTGGAGCTGTCGCAGATGAATGCAATGTCATCGGCATACTCCAAGTCACGTCGCTCACTTGGGAGCAGCTGCACACCTTCCAAGTGCCATGCGAAAAGTGACAGCGGACAACCTTGTCTATCATGGCCGGAGATACTGAAAGGCGGTGAAAGTTTGCCGTAAATCCTCACTCTGTCCGAACTATGTGCCTACAGCGCTCTATTGACACTCACATATTTATGAGGCACACGTTTCCTCAATAGACGGTGCCAAAGTGCACATCGATTAACAGAATCGAAAGCACCTTTGATGTCGAGGAAAAGGACAACGGTGGGTCGCCAATAAACATGTGGGTGCTTCAATAACTGACGTAATGTGAAGATGTGGTCAATGCAGTCTCGATTTCGACAAAACGCGGCTTGCTCCTCACGAATCTGGCCTTCACGCGTGTCAGTCAGTCTATGGAGGATGACAGACGCAAGTAGACAATGGAGATCAGACTGACTGTTTTTCTCAAGATATGGCTGTATTAGTAGGCTAATGTGAAGCTCATTCTCGCTAGCACTGAATGTTCCCTGGAGGTGGTGGGTCTATTCTCTGATTAAAGTATCTTCATCCCCTTTGGCGTTCTAAACACCGAATAAATCGCTTCAGGCTCAAATAGCCTTCAAGATCTCAAATGTGCGTGTGGATTATGAACGATAAATGAACAAGAGTAGACTGCGTAACTCTGCAGATCAGGAAGGTGGTCGCCATGTGTTTGGGACACTAAATGATCGGTCAACCTCAAGCAGTGCAGTGTCGCTCGCACCTGATGAGACGATAAAGTAAGCGAAGCCAAGGTGCATCAGTTGGTGTTGGGAAAAAGATACAGCGGTCCGTTATCGTACGGCCAGTCCACTTCCATCAACTGCATGTCGACTACCTGCTAATACTTTGGCTGCTTGGATTAAACCACAGGAGAATTGACTAATGGTATGGTAAAACAGAGTGAGGAAGATGGTCGAAAAACTCAGGGACGACGGTGCTTGTCATTTACATGGAAGCGAAGAACACAGGAATTACCACAAGAATGACTGGAGGCGAAAAAATGTTGCAGTTGCCAGGTAAGTGCAATCGCTCCGCGGTTTCCACTCCTTTTTTCTCAGGTCAATATCCTACGATCCAATTTAGTTATTTTCAATTACATGGTCGTCTTCGGATTTTTTATCAAGTAATTACTGCTATTATTATTGTCAGCACTGGTAGTATTAGATCGAAGGAGTATGTCATGAAAATAGGATACTTCGAAAGCATTGTGCGGATTATAGCTAGCTAACGGAAAAGAGTGCTAGACGAGTGCAGGTAGGGAATCCACAACGTTGTCGATGTACAACTTAGGGCATCGAGTCCGAGCCCCTCTGCTATCTAAATACGAGGGCCATGACGGTGTCTTACTTCGCGTACAACCACAAGCAGCTGAACGGCAAGGAAATACCAGTGTAATGTATTATTGGAACTTATTCTTAAGAAGAATATAACGCAGTAACATAGTGTGTACTTCTACTGGTCAGCTATTGGGAAACAGGATAATGCCTGAATGCCATCTAGTATGTTCTAGCAAAAGAGGCCATATATTTCCAGTGACCAGCCACATTCAGCCATTTTCAAATAAAAAATTAAGTAAAAGAAGAAAACCTTGCACACGTACAATATATTTTCCAAAAGATCAGAGAAGGCAAGCGTCGCATCTTCTTGAAAGATGAAGCAACATAACTCACTTGTGCAGTACGGCTTGTAGTGCGCTGGAACATTGAAATGAACCCTACTGTGGACTCCTGAAAGGCCGGCCAGTTGTCGTTAAATTGTAATCACAACAAACCAGCGCTTGGTGCAGCAGGTAGAATAGGGACAGTATGCTAATCAAGACAGCCACACCTGCTGCAAGGAAGATACACGAATGCTTGTCCTCTAACAGCTGCTTTAAAAAACAACACGTGGAGGAAACAGTTGGATGAACGGCGCACGCTTCAGACAAATAGGGGTGAAATGTGATCGACGTTCGATTTTGAGAAACTGCATGTCAGATGTTCACGGGACAAAGGACCTTTCCACAGTCCGAAAACGCCACCATATTATATATATATATATATATATATGTATATATATATGTATATATATATGTATATATATGGTTGGCAAAATCAAAATCATATCTTTCAGAATTAGCTCCGTACAATCCAGAATACGGAGGTTAACTAAATCTAATGAACACTATGTGTAATCTCTTACACCTTGTCACTACATCGAACCAGCTCTTCGCTACCATCCGGGTTACCACAAAGAACATTGATCACTCCAAGGAGTAGCGGTACGCGCGCCTCAAAGAAATCACTGCCAATGACGACCTAGTATCGCACGAACGTTAACCGACACTTGCGAGACTCTTTTTGGTTTCTCATTACTGACTACTAATTCTTCTACTAGATAATTCTAATATGTTCCTTCCGAGCAACTCTCCGTTTATCATTGCCTCCGTTCTACTCTTACGTTTTAGTTACTGTTGCCAAGGCTATTTAACCTCTCACACTTTGATGCGAGGAGCATGGACCTTTAAGTTATGCGATGATTTGCGCAATTCTGTCTTACTTTGCTTGGCACTTTCTAAATGCCGCACGTATCGAACTGTGCAGTGACTACCGGTTAAACAAACTCTGTCCCATTACCGTGTTCATCGTAGGTCGGGTATATCGTGGGCTCTTCCGCCCAAACTCAGTTGTGAGACACGATAGGTTATCAGCACAGTTGCACTCGTGTAGATTACGAATGCCACTAATGACCCCTGTTTTTGGGAGCACAACACCTACTCATTGGTTAACTACCGCCTACTTCATTCCAGATAGATCCCGGTCAGTATGATATACGTTCGCTGAAATTCAACTACCTGTGGTCGTGATCGTACGTGTGCCGTATACCTGTGCTGGAGGTATCTTATGTCAACGAATAGTTGGATTCGATAGACAAATCGGACAAGATTTGGACGATTAGACACGAAATAATCAGGCTGGGTCATTGGATGCACCAGGCATAATCGTCGGTTCTCGCTGCTCCGCTGTTTGATTGACATTTGTCTACGTCGCAATTAGTTCCCTGTTTCAGCTAATCTCAACGAAGAGTAGAGCTTCATAGGTGCGACAACGTCGTTCTTAATAGATGCTACCAAACTGTAGCGTCAAATCTGCTGCCATTTTACTGGTCTGCCTACGCCGCATAAACCGTTCACCGGTGAACGACCGATTTTCTCTGTATGCATGAATTGTTTCCAGTCTTTCTAGAATGCGTGCTGCCCACATCAATAAAAATCCTGCGGGATTCGGCAGTGTGACGTTCCCGAACTGGACCTGTTTCCCACAACTGCTTGGGCCAGACTATTAATTCAAAGACGGGGCGCAGTATTTTATGCAACCGT